GATGGCCTTCACCATAATAGCAATGATCTCCACCCTAAGAGCGATGGTCTCCACCCTAAGAGCAATGGTCCGGGCTCCACCTTAAGAGCGATCACCTCAGCCTAATAGTGACGGCTTCCACCCTAAGAGCGATGGCCTCCGATGGCCTCCACCCCAAGAGCGATCACCTCAGCCTAAGAGCGATGGCCTCCACCCTAAGAGCGATGGCCTCCACGCTAATAGCGATGGCCTCCAGCCTAGCGATGGCCTCCACCCTAAGAGCGATGGCCTCCACCCTAAGAGCGATGGCCTCCACACTAATAGCGATGGCCTCCACCCGAAGAGCCATGGCCTCCACCCTAAGAGCGATGGCCTCCAGCCTAAGAGCGATGGCCTCCACCCTAAGAGCAATGACTTCCACCCTAAGATCGATGACCTCAGCCTAATAGTCGTGGCTTCCACCCTCAGAGCGATGGCCTCCACCCTAATAGCGATTGCCTCCGCCCTAAGAGTGATGGCCTCCACGCCAAGAGGGATGGCCTCCACCCTAAGAGCGATGGCCTCCAACCCACTAGAAAAGTAAATGAAGAGTCTGACAGAGAAGAGGAGGACAGACTCGGACAGACAGGAAACAGGAAAGACAGGAAGGCAGAATGTGGAAGGAGGACTGGTCAATGGACTATGCCTGGCCGGAGGCCCGCTTAGAAACGTCAATTTAACAACCCTCAGAAAAAAAAAAACAACAACGATGCAAACAAAGGAGTTTCACTACTTAGCACATCGGCTTGCAGCCTCTTGCACTTGTCACCTGCAAGAAGGCCAAGCCAAATCTTCTAGCTCAAGAAGCCTGCTTCGCTTTGCCTCCGCACAACAATCAACACCACCAAACTGCTGGCTGGGCTACAAAAGCTTCAGGAACCCTGAAAGAATGCCGCACAGCATGGAACCGTCACTCCGCACTTTACCGCCCAAACTGCAGTAAGCGCTTTGGCAGCACAACAGTCAACACTGCAAAAATGCTGGAGCGTTCAAGAAACTGTTGGGAAGGTCCTACTGACCAAAGAGTATCTCTACTGTTGACGAAAGAAACCTTGGCGGCTGCACTACTTTATGCCCTCGCGTCCTCTCATGTTGCTCTCGCACGCAGCCAATGTTCGTCGCTAGCTGCACAGGTCTGGCTGTTCCACTCTATGCCGTCATTCTACTTGTGAGGAAAACTCCTTACTGTCGACGATTCCCGCACCACTTTTTTGAGGATGATATCTCAAACCCTCGTGCTCACGCGTTACCACTGTTCACCCCCGCATCGAAACCTGCAGAGGGTCCATTGACGAAAATTCTGCACCACCTGCCTGCATGACACAACAACAGAGTTAATTGATGTTAATTGTGCGTGAAAGCGTTGCAGGATTTCTTTCGTCAACCCTAGCACCACTTACACATGTTCTGTGCACAATAACAAGGCAAAGGCACAGAGGGCTACTGCTACTGATTTTAACTGCTGGACATATACAAGCACCGGGCACATGAATGTGTTCAGGCGAGCCTCAAATGGTGTCTTCTGCTCGTGGCGAAGGCAGAACAGTCAGACTGGAAGCATCGACTCTTCGCTTTAAATTTAAATGTTGATAGCTTTAGTTCGAATGAGTGATCAGGGTTGACACAGGGTGCTCGGCAAAGCCAGAGTCGCTGGGAAAACCAGTGTGCTCTCGCCTCCGCCTTGGGTCTTTAATTGAACCCTGCACAATCAAGGTCGATTCAAGGTCGTATTTTGTCATTCTTGACAAGAGTCCTTTCTCCAAGAGATTGTTCCCTTCGCCGGTTGGACCGAACCAGGACTGGATGTGTTGGCTGCTGCTGCAGATTCTGTCAGGGTCTTCAGACCCTGCTGTGGCAACAACGGACAATCTGGAGAGTTGAGCACGTTTACACTTACC